ACCAAGCCATTTATCCCTCCGCCCTTCAATTAACCCCACATGTGTTTATTGGCCAGCTTGGCACAAGAAACTATCTCACAGCCCAACACACAACCACTACACCACCAGGCTTCCTTGAGTTAGGAGAAGATGCCCTAATTGGCAAGCCAGTGCAAGCTAACTACAGCACAAAACACACCTTGAGATCATCTTCTCCAGGAAGCCTGTCCTCTAGCTGGATGACCCAGTAGCCTCACTATGGTTAGTGTCCCCCAATAACTCATGGTGACACTCCCTCTCCCATGGACTTCCTTCCATTCCAGACCATAAAGAATCTGTCATAATGTTTATCAGTTCTAATCATGGGCTATAGAGTTGTATGGTATTTAAATATTCCTTATGTATTATATATTGATATATTTAATATATAATTTATTGCTATATGTATTATAGAATTATATAATATAAATAATATATTATATAATATATATTGTTATTATTAGCAACAAAATTGTTTTATAAAAACTTCCAATGTTGGATTATAACATTATTAGTTCCAGCCTTCTAAAAGTTTTCTCCTTTTCTTTTCATTACTGCTTCATTCTCAAAAATGTTATGGGTCTAAGTTCACAAACCCAACTTCCCACAATATTGTTGCTAAACACTAGAAAACTTTATAAAGCAGCAACTCTACAAATATCTGCCACAATGAAAACAATAACACATGCTTGTGGCACCTGCAGACACAGTCACATGATTTAAGGCATCATTATAATTGGATAATAATCACAGCTCTGACCATAGTACCTTCCAAAACAACAACCATGGCCATTGATTGGACACAAACTTAGAGTCACTTTACTTAGGATTTCCTAGGCATAGTGGCTACAGACAGGGCTGTGATTTGCAAGGTCGGCAGTTCAAAACCAGCGGCCACTCCTTAGGAGAACAACAGGGCTTTCTACTCCCATAGAGTTACAGTCTTGGAAACCCACAAAGGCAGTTTTATCCTGTCCTATCGGCTCGCTGTGAGTTTGCTTGTTTGGTAAATAAATTTTTATGGGAACAGATAGCCTCCTCTTTCTCCCATGGAGCCATGATGGTTTTGAACCACCAAACTTCTGTAAGCAGTGCAGTGCATACCTGGCAGCGCCGGTACGTTAGAAGGTTTAGAAAGTATATTGGCATAGAGTTTTAGCCTTGTAGATATATTGATATATGTAAGCGAGGCTTTCAAAATTATTTTTGTTATAACTGCCATGAAGTCCAAATAGAGAACACTTAGCAGAGTACAGTGGTTGGTCCAGGGCCCAGTCTTTGACCCTTCTTAACTTCTGTGTCTTGCTGACAGCCTGTGCAAACTCAAGTACACAACTAAAGAACATTTGCCCGTGAGTGGTTATGATAACCAACATATTCTAATAGGGTCTCTCTTGCTCTCTTTTTAATGCCGATTGCTAACATGATCTGTTATGTAAGAAGCTCTCAGAAGTGCATCAGGGGACTCCAAAATCTGGGGTGTTTGACTACCTAAAATGATTTTTCAAAGGCCTCAATCAAACTCCATTTGTCCTAGGCTAGGCTCTGCTTCTGTTTCTGAGGGACCCCGTAACTGTGAGTGGGTAAACAAAGCAGGGGCAGCTTGCCCTCAGGAAGAATGTGGCTGAAAGTATAACTAGTGTATATAAAAGAGCTTAAATAGGGAACTTGGCTGAGAATGTCCTTAATGATTTACATAAACTGGCCAATCAGAAGGAGCCCTGGTGCTGTAGTGTGCTGCTAATAGTAAGATCAGCAGCTTGAAACCACCAGCCATTGCACTGGGAGAAAGATGAGGCTTTCCACTCTGGAAAAGAT